AATCAACTGAAGACAACTGCAAAATCATTAAAGACCGATTCGAGGCCTGATGTACCATCAGCAGAAGATCAAGGAGTCGACGTATCAAAATGGAATCTGGAACCCGATGAGAATATCTGCAGTCGGATAACGATTCTTCCGTGCTAAGTAACGCAATGGCGACTGCGACGGAATGTCTGGCTGTAATTTTGCAGTGAAGTCATAGTCTATATCTAAGAACGCCGAGACGTAGCAGAAATACCCGAAGAAGTGATTGAAGTCATTTAGATGAAAGAAGCCTCTCGCCTAGACCTTGAGGTGTGAACTCTGGGCAGTGCAGATGAGTGGAGCTCGTTTAGAACTGCAGGCACAATTAGCTACTGGAGGAAGAGCTGACGTGACAACCGACGCTGTTAGTCAGAAGAGCCGAAATGAGCTAGCTAGTTGGTGTCTCGGAAAGAGCCGCTGACCTAGTTCCATTCTCGACTGGAGAGTCGCGTTAGTTTTCCTTTGAGGATTTTTGTCTATCTCTAGCGTTGGGTCTTTTTGCGTATTAGAGTGTGTTATTGGATTAAGGTAGTAGACTTGGAACTCGGTTTTATTCCATGTTATTTTTAAGACCTTGAAACTTTTGAATTCGCGTAAAACCAAAAAGCTCATTTGGAATGAACTCCCATTTGTACACATTTTTGTGGAAAAATCCTTCTCTTGCTTTTGCCTTGGCCTATGTGAAATCCCAAGTCAAAAAATTTTCGGGATTGAATTTTATTGTCGAAACATTGAACCAAAAACCAACCCTGACTGGGTGTAGCCACGAGGTGGTGGTCGAGTATCTACACCCGTGCTGAGCGATGAGCGACAGATCGTTGACTCACACGCAAGCTACAACTGCCATCAACGGACACACGAAACTCCCATGCTAGCGTGATCGGACAAACCTTGACCTTGCGGTTGGTCTCTGAACAGGTGCACGGGAGCGTCCTGGCGCCCGGCATATGCAGCGCCTGCGAGCGTGTCGCCTTTCAGAGGACAATGCATTAAAAACTAAAACGTCCATTTTATTTTTGTTTGGACGGTTTGACCACCGAGAGTTGCAAGTTCCAGCAAACCGCGTTTGCGTCTTTGATCGATGGTTTTGATAAGGAAGCGTGGTCGATAGATTTTCTACGCCTATGCGAGGATTTCTCGAGATGACGAGATAAGTGACTTGTGTTGCCAACAAACGAAGCCATGAGGGGCTACGTTTGTGTTGTAGAATCGTGTGTTGTAAGTATGAGTATAGCCGAGCTGTACTGCATGCATGGTTGTACAGTTACCGTGACAATCGCTTCAGCAAGAAGTCACAGGTGTGTCGAGATTGTGGGTAAGTTTTCGGCGTGACCCGGGCACCATGCTAAAACTCAGATCCATGTGTCGACCACGATTGTTTGATCGATGATCTCACAGTCGAAATACTATGAGACCTGTTGAGGTCGTAAGTGCATGTTGTGTGTTGCGTTTTGCGATTTCTCACCACGGGTGGGCTTTTTTGTGTTTTTGTGTATCGAGCGAGTATCTTGATGGTACCATTCGAGTTTCCCCTTTCGTATGACTAGAGGTATGGTATACCTTAGTTTGGAGTATAGAATGGAATCGCTGTCGTGAGATGTTAGCCCTTGTGGAGTCTCGATCGAGTCGATGACCTAGCCTAATGGTTGGCCTTACTATCAGAGATTTTTGGGATGCACGACACGTTGTACACCTCGAGTGGAAGAGATATGTACACCTCGAGTGGAGGGGTTGTGTGCAGGTTCCCGGGCTTATAGTAGACTTTAACGGGTTGCGTTATGGGCAGAACCTTATCTATGAGAAGGTACTGGTGGCCGTGGTGGGACGGAGGGCCCATCAGTCGAGGAACCGGTTATGGTACCCGTCAAAGTCTAAGAGGAACTGTTTCGGTGAGGGTGATGCAACTCGGGAGAGCGATCATGAGTTATGGGAGTAGTTTCGGAACCTTAGGGTTTGTGATTCCTCCAGGTATGTGTTCTTGTGAGTTGCCTGTTCTTGTGGGATTTCGGAGGAGCGAAAATTTTTTAAGGAGGGTAGTATTGTAGCGCCCCATTTGTTCTGGATTTAACTAGCATTATTAATTATTTTATTTTGTCAATTTTTATATTATTCGTGTTCGATTATTATTTTATTTCGATTATATGCATAATTGTCTAATTGTATTATTAGTTAAATTTTAATATCGAGCCGAATTATATATTATTAATTTTTATTATCAATCGAACCGAAGAATCCAACCTAATCGGGACCCATAAATCGATCGCACTCAAAACATCGGGCCTCAGCCCGCGCCGAACTCACGCAATTTCCAATTCGCGCGCCCGCCCACGTGAACGGCAACCCGGCCCGAGCCACCTCCCATGCATGCAAGCTTTATATTTAAATTTTTGGATTTCATATTGTAACCTCTTATCCCATAAAATCAGCCATTATCCCACATTATGAGCCTTGACCAATTATTATGGGAAGGTTACAAAAGTTATGGCCACATAAAGAGTGAACCACCTCTCTTCTCTCCCTCACTCCCTCTTCTCGCCATCTCTATCTCCCTCCCTCTCCAAAAATTTTTCCAGCACCCCTCGCCCTCTCCCTTCTCTTATAATCTCGCCGGGAAGCTCGCCCAATCACACCGGAGAACCCCGGAGAAGCCGCGCGCGGTGCAAAGACCCGCCGAACCCGTGCGCATCGCTGAGACGCCGCGAAGCCGAGATGACCTGCTGCACCCGACCACTTTGCACGTTCTTT